TTGCATTTCCTTGCTTGGTCTTTTCGTTTCCTTGAAAATGGCGTGTAGAGTCCGCCTCTGAATGTCAGTGAAGACGAGTCGAGGTTTCTTGGATGAATGTTCATCAGCAGTACTTTTGTTTTCTTCAGATTTACGTTTGCATGCTAAGGACCGAAATTATTAAAAAGTATATAAGACATACTTGCTAGCCGCAACGCGGACATACGTTGATACTCAGGCTCATTGAGCCAATTCCACATTCGACGAAAAGTTTCACGACCTGATTTCAGCTTGCTCCAAGGTTTCGGATTCCGAAGTAAGTCGGACAAAGTACCCTGGCTACGACACAACACCCGCTGAGCAAAAACTGCTTGTGGAATACTGTACCGTTTCAATTCCGCACTAATTCTCTGTGCCAGGTCCTACGTATTAGAGAAATAAAAATTATACAAGGCAGAAGCGTACCTTCGTGTTTAGCTCATTGGTATCATCGGGGCAAGAAGAACCACTGGCGTCCTGTTCGGTGGACTCGTGACGGGGAGATTGTTCGGCTAAAATAGGGGTAATGACCTACAACCCGGGTTACCTTGCTCAACCATTTGACTGGGCTTGACTCCAACACTTTGAGTAAAAGTAGTCTGTGGAACAGGGTCGACTGGCGAAGTGGTAATGGCGGGCTGTGCTTGCTCATGGACTGGATAGCCTGAGAAGTGCGCAAGTAGCACAGACAACTTACCTCCATTTTCCTGATGGATTTTTTCACCATTGTGATGCAGCACCGGTTTCAAATCTTCAATCGCATAGCTATGTGAAGCCTGTATGCCATCTGATTCTCCCGTTAACTGGCTGTAAAGTTTATCAGACACCGAGGATATCGGAGGTAGAGAGGATACACTGGTGTACGTCGTCAGCTTCGAGGCGTCGGCTGAGGCACATTTTTCGCCTAGCATTGGTAGATCACCCAGCTGAATTGACGATAATCCTGCTAAATCGGTTGCCAGGAGGTTATCAGATAGCGTTAAAGTCACATTTTCCATATTTTGATCTGGCATGGTGAAATGCGTCGATGGAGTTGTAAGTAAGATGGTTTGTTGGTCCCCACAATTGATTAGAGTTAACTTTACTGTTTGTATTCCTTGTAAAGCTTGAGTGTTGCCTTGGAGGGCCTGTAATTCCAGTGACGCGCCGTCTGCCGTGTTGAAAATCGGAATATTTTCCAGGTCAACTGATGGGAGACTGATTTTCCCCGAAGCCAGAGCACTGATGGGGACAGCGGCCATTGCGACAGTTCCACAACCGGAACTTGCAGACATAGTGTTTGAAGGATCACTCGAAAGCATGACTGAGTTGAAATGACAAGCTTGTAATGACACAGACGGCGTAAAAAAGGGATTTGGTGGTCACAGTCGATGAGCTGGCACTCAGCTGGCACAATTAACCATGATGGAAAATAAGATCACTGAATGTGGAACTGTTTGTAATCACTGGTGGTACTGAAAAACAATTATCCAAACCAAATAATAATGTCTGATCGTTAGATTTCCAGCAAAAATTCCCAACGCGCGCATAGAACAGGCCGATCGAAGTTATTGACGTCTTTTGGTATTGACCGCTAGCAGGTCCTGTTTCACTATGGCCGTTCGATATGCGCGTGTCTGGTTGGTCGATATTTAAACAAAAAATGGAACCCTAATTTGAGCCGAAAAAGGGGCTCTACCCTAAAAGACTTTAATAATTGCAATTGAGAACACTGTTTTCTACTAAAACATTGCATAATTGAAAACAAATAACTGTTTAATTAAATGAACTGCTATTTAAGTAGTATGTTCAGTGTCGATAAAAATAACGGCATTTACACCAAGCGTGGTGCATAGCCATCTTAAAACTCCTTTGGCGGTTCGTTCTCCCCTAAGTTGATTGCGATTTACGTTTCTGGCGTTCTTTTGAGATCAGTTCATAATAATCTGCAACTTCAGCCTGCCTAAATTCATCCTCATAGATTGCCAGATTTAGTAGAAGGAGTAGGAGATGTTAATTCGCATGCCTCAGTAATGTAAAAATGGAATCGATCGAAGATTTTGTCGTCATATAAAAGAACTGAAATCGGGCAATTTCAGTTCCTTAAGTATTAAAAAACGAGTCAAAATAAACAACATATTATATCCAAAAGCGATGGAAATGTTTGTGATAACCAACAAAGAGCAATGGACAGCTATTTCGTCCTGTTTGGGACTCGTCAGCATTGCGTACTTTTTGTGTCCCTGTCAGGACTCCAACCGCGATCAGTCGGGTCGGGACTTCAAATCCTTACCCCTGAGCTCCACAGTCGATGGTCATCACCTTGTGCGAATGGCTCAAGCAATTAAGAGTATCAAGCTTGGATTCGCCCATTTGATTGTTCAGAGGCACCAGGTACTCTTGATTGTCTTGGGTGTGGGTTTCACTCCTTGGGAGATACCAAGACCATCAAGAGTGCCTGGTGCCTCTGAACAATCGAATGGGCCAATCCAAGCTTGATACTCTTAACACATACCAATGGTCCAAATAGTGAATACGAAAAATGACAATAATCTGGATGAAAATCCATTCCCCGATTATTCTTAAGCCATGCTAGGAGTAATCATTCCTGATTTCCAGCCCTGTGTCTTGAAGGAAAGTGGCATGCAACCTATATCCGTTAACGAATCTACAGTTCCAAGACACGACTTAAACTACGAGTGCCTGCTTCATTCAGTCAAATTTTATTCAATGTTGGTTTCACTCCAGTTTTTAAATCATCAGTAGGACCAGGTTCACCAGATCATAAGAAAACAAGGCCATTTTATTATAGTTGAGAAGTTTAATGTCAGCTGTTGCTTCAAATGTTATTGCGTATATGCCTATTCGTCACAATAACCGCATTGGCAACACCAGGTAATTTTGGATAGCCAGCTCTTTCAGAGACAGTCCGTTGAAGAATCAATACTATGATCCGATGTCCTGTAGCTGGGTTAGACGCTACTACTATCCAAAATTACCCGGTATTGCAAATGAGGTTATTGTGACGAAAATACGCATCCTGGATACAAGTATATATACCACTTATTATGAAATATACATATTTCACACAAGTCTGAGACCAGGTTGTGTGCCAAACAAATCACAGTAAACTCATCCCTATTAAAAAGGAGAAAAGTTCCATGGGCGCTGCTCAGACCAAGGCAAGTGAATTTTATTGGGGGAATTCACAACTGGAGCCTTAGGCTAACCAAAGCCTGACCCACAAGGCAGCGGGGCTGTGTGAAAATCGTAATCCATTGGGGGCCGGTTTCCTCTCCATGAGATCATACGCCTTATGGACAGGGTCAAAGCTCCAAGGTACCCAAAATACCTCGAAACCCAATTGAGCCGGTGACTACTGCCACGACCAGGAAGGTGTGTGGCCCGGTTATGTCCCCGGATGTTGGTTTTTCGTCCTCTCAATTCGATGGGAAAACAGCTCCGCCAGGGTAGTATTGCATTAGGAAGTAAAGTCAAGAAACGCTTTATGCAACCAAAGGGTGCATTTTCAGCAATTTACGAGATTGAGACAAATCGCAATCCAAAAAATAGAGAATAAACTCGATACTGTAGTGAATTAAAAAATATTAGGGCAAATTTCTTTCCCTGAGTTGGCTGACATTTGTCTTACGATTGACCAGTAGCCGGTCAATGCATGGAGTTACACTCTTTCTATATGTAGGCGGGAGTTGATATTTGAAGCGTGTTCGGGGATCGGAAAGAACTTTCCCGATTTCACGATGTAGACAGTGCCCTTGATCACGTGTTATCCTGTCAACAAAAGTATCGCAAGCGTCAAAACGCTTGGAAATAAAGAAATCAACCAAAACAACTCTATCAACTCCGCTGTGACGGGACAAAAGTTTAAGGAATTTCGAAAATAAAATGAAGTCTTTTTCTTTCAGTCCAGGGATAAAAATCGGGGAGCAGTGTAGCCAGTGTGGAAGAATGCAGGTAATCACAAATTTAAGAATAAGATTGTGTGGAACAACCAGTTTCCTGAGCCTGTATGCATAGAAGGACAATTTTCGAACTTTTGTGAAAACGTTGATGACATGAGCAGACCAGGAAAGATTATGGATGAGGGTTACACCAGGATATTTCACGGAAACAGATTCGGGGATGTTTTGGTTAACCATAAGATCGGGAAAATTGTTTTTTTTTAATGAAAGACTAAGGGGACCGTCAGTGCACTTGTTGGGGACAAGTACGATGGATCGGGGGCATCGATCAATTGTGGCCTTTCATTGCCCGGTCCATTAACGATCCTTGAATGAGCATGTGAGTTATACTCATTAGTACTATTCGTTCACCAAATTTCGAGCAGAAAAATAGATTCGTAAAACAAAAATATTTTACCACAGTTGAACATAAATTCTGAAACTGGTTTCTCTTCACCGATCTCTGTGACCATAGAATGCATGCGCTTATTCTGTCAATTTGACTTGGGAAGGTTAGTCTATTTGTTTATTTGTTCTTTTACTTATCTATTGAATGCTTAGTGCCCTTATGACAGCTATTTTCGAGAAAATTGAGGAGAATGAAACATGATACTGATTAAATTTTACGTTATGAGTATTGAAATTAAAAACGAAATACGAGGGCTTTCGTCCAATGTGCACATTGTTCACAAACGGGCCTGTTGCATGTGCAACCAAGTGTAGCGCCTATTGGGAAAGACGAACTAGGCTGATCTCTAAGCGAACATGTGGCCCGCCCCCGTATGTCCCCTCGTACTTACGCCCATGCAATCAATGTATAACACCTGTCACAAGCACCTTTCTCATGGCGTTCGTTCTCCGTCATTCTGTCGGCATACGCCCGACGATCGTGTTCGCTCGGAAAGAGTTTGTAGTGTAGTAGCTACGTTGGGACTGGAATAATCTGTTCGCTTAGAGAGAGCGACTGTTCCTAGGGCATGCGCTGTTGGAGAGGAGTGCCTCCCTTTTCTCACGAAAGCTGTGGATACGTTCATTCATGTGTGTGCAGATCGTTGTGTTGAATTTTACTATCTGGCTCCACTTTACAAACAACTGCCCCTTGTACAACTAGCATCATCATATTTGTTCTTCAGATTTCAACACAATGATCACTACCCCCAATCGCATTTTCTTGCGAATTGCACTCCTGAGTCACACTTTGCACATAATTCTAAGAGCCCGTTGAATGTATCGGGTGGACTCCTGTTTTCATTTACGTTTACTTCATGGAACACTGTTTTTTTTCTTCATCTTTTACAACCTGCGTATACCCAAGTGGAAATTCAATAAAATGTTCTCCAAACAGGAATCTTCCTACCGCTAAGGTACAACAATTCTGCCTCGTGATTATGACTTCCACAGGTTCTCTCAACTGAATGTTGCTCACTTAATATGCGCTGAACCCAATGTGCTCACAG